ATGCTGCAAAGGTTTCTCAGGATCCTACAAAAGTTTCTCAGGATCTTGCAAAAGTTTCTCAGGATCCTACAAAAGTTTCTCAGGATCCTACAAAAGTTTCTCAGGATACTGCAAAGGTTTCTCAGGATCCTACAAAAGTTTCTCAGGATCTTGCAAAAGTTTCTCAGGATCCTACAAAAGTTTCTCAGGATACTGCAAAGGTTTCTCAGGATCCTACAAAAGTTTTCCAGGATCCTACAAAAGTTTCTCAGGATCATGCAAAGGTTTCTCAGGATCCTACAAAAGTTTTCCAGGATCCTACAAAAGTTTCTCAGGATCCTGCAAAGGTATCTCAGGATCCTACAAAAGTTTCTTAGGATCCTACAAAAGTTTCTCAGTATACTGCAAAAGTTTCTCAGGATCCTGCAAAGGTTTCTCAGGATCCTACAAAGGTTTCTCAGGATCCTACAAAAGTTTTCCAGGATCCTACAAAAGTTTCTCAGGATCCTACAAAAGTTTCTCAGGATCCTACAAAAGTTTCTCAGGATACTGCAAAAGTTTCTCAGGATCCTACAAAAGTTTCTCAGGATACTGCAAAGGTTTCTCAGGATCCTGCAAAGTTTTCTCAGGATCCTACAAAAGTTTCTCAGGATCCTACAAAAGTTTTCCAGGATCATGAGATCTGTTTGTTCGTTCATTTATCCCCATGTCCTCTAATGGGCTTTGTATATATTCAAACAAAAAGTTTTTTAATCTTGTGGAAATTGTTAGATTATTGATCTTGTAAGTCTGGAAATTTTACCTAATTTCAAGAASTTCAATTAATTTACTGCACTGACAGATTATTTCACTCAGTTTGAGAAGATAATCTAGTATTTTTAACATTTTAACGTCAAATTTCTGCAGTGTGATCAGAAATCAGTGTTTCAAACATTTATGCAGTGCTTTTATAAACATATCTGCCTCGTTCCTTTTAATATGTATTAAAATATCACAGAAAAAATAAATTAATATCAATTTATACAGATTGTCTGTAAAAAAAACTTGAATTTCAAAATTATTTTCTGTCTGATTCCAGCTGTTTACAAGTTGAAGGCTTGTTTAGGATCAACTTACCGCCGATATCCTGAATATTTAAGACTTTTTTGTGAAACAATCCCCAAGTCTTGCTCATTAGATAAGTCTCACCGTGTCGCTGTTTGTGCAGATCCCAGTCTGTGGTGGAACCAGGAGTCCTGAAGAGACCGGACAAAGTGAAGAGTGAAGAAGACAACATGCAGCCGCTGCTCTCGCTGGACTAAAACCACATGATTACAGCTCAGGAGCTGAAACAAATCAATATTTGAACACACGGAAACACTGACTCCTCTGTGCAGAAAGACCTTCCTGCAGRAACAGTCTCTGCTGCTGCAGCATTTATTTCTCACGAAACTGCAGACCAGCTGCTCTTCTATACACTGTATTTATTTATTTATTTATTTCGTTACATGTCAAGTGCCAATCCAGAAACTGTAAATATGAAGTCTTTAAACAATCTAGGCAGAGGAGGCTCAGCTCGGAGCAAGAAGAGGAGTTTCCTACAGGTGACGGTAAACTTTAAACATAAAGAGCTCCCAAACTGAAGCTTTGTATTTCTTATTAAGAGCAGAAATCTGAAGCAACGCCTCCATCAGGGCAGGAAGGGCATCTCAGAAACACCAGGAGAGGAGAGAGGAAGATGAGCTGCTTCATCCTCCATTAAAACTGACCAACAGGCTTTTATCAGCTGTTTTTATTTCAGGGGACTGACATCGTTCCTAAAATAGCATCGGAGCTTTTAGTCTCACTCCAGTTATCTCTTGGAAAAGCAAATGTCCCTTTATGGTTCAAGTCGTCTTCATGAATCATCTGCTTTCCCCTTCAGCCATCTTCTTTCAGTTTCTGACCCAGACGTCCCAGAAAGCAGCACTTTTCCTCTGACGCTGCAGGCTCCTCTGAAACAGCTCCCCTCATTGTTTGTTCGGCACAGGACTTATTTATCCTCGGTGTTTCACCGTGAAGACGTTTATTTTATAGCAGCAGAGAACGTTWAGCATGGTGTTCGTCGACAGGTTGACTTGTTGGTGTTTTTATTCTTCTTGTCACGAGATAGACATTGTTTTTATTTTTCACTACAAGATTTATAGAATTATGAYATAAGAGTCTCGTTTTGTTTGTTTACAGGAATTATGCAGTATTTTAGTCTGGAGTTTTACCTTCATTTAAGCCTGARAGTTTGAATTTTCACTCTTGTAATTATCRTTAGCTGTGTTTCCATTGCAAATGTGTGCAAAACTTTGTMGATATTCTGTTAATGYGGTGTTTCCATTAAKTAAGAAATGCTATTAAAGTCACGYGWRWACRYKTKTKYTCKCGMKAWGTCATTACAAACATGGCRGCRATGGATGTAAACACATAGCATGTTGCTACCACGACACTAGCGCTCATCATCAGAGGAGACGTCGGCGTCTTTTATCGAGGCTTTCCAGAGACAAGTCCCTACTTGGGAGCGGCTACGTATGCTGTGTTTTTGGGAAATTGTAGTTGTGAGTTTAATACTTTCTTTTAGTACTTCGGTGATTTTACTACTACATTTACTTCCTGTTATCTTCTTC